CCACCCAATGGTTTTCACATCTGAGAAAGGACTAGATCTCCCAGTCTCCTGGCGATTGTCCCAAAGCCACCCAAATAGCCTGAGACAGGACTAGAACTCCCAGTCTCCTGGTCATTGGCCCTGAGCCACCCAGGTGGCTTTCACATCTGAGGCAGGACTAGAACTCCCTGCCTCCCGGCCATTGGCCCAGAGCTACCCAGATGTCTTTCATTCTCCTAGTGAATTGGCCCGAGGTCGCTGAACCCAACTGTCGTACCTAATGCGGGACTAGAACTCCCCGTCTCCTGGTCATTGGCCCACGGACATCCAGCCAGCTTTCCTCCGAAGGCGGGGCTAGAACTCACCGCCTCCTGGTTTGAAGGCCAGCACTTTCCCCACCGGGCCAACCTGGGTCATTGTCCCTTTGTTGCATCACTCTCCCTCCTGCTCCTCCTATTGGCCCTGACATTTCCATGGCAAGGGGGATCAGAAAGGATGCGGTTGGCATGTCCCCCTCCTCTATATCTCTCTCTCCTGGCCTGAATGGATTAGCTCTGACGGGGAGGAGAGAACATAATTTAAAATAGCTAAAATAGGTAAATAAAAGAATTGACAGCAGCAACAGGCCACAGAGGAGAAAACTAGGTTGGTGGTCTCACTCCCCCCACCCCGCTAAAGAAGTCTGTATTTGAATTCATTGCGGGGAGGGGGTGCGGGGAGAGGAAGGCAGCAAACAAGGGGTATTTGGGAAGCTTCAAACCGGAGTCCACCTCTTCGTTCCGGGGATGTTAAAGAAGCTCGTGGCTCGTTTTGTCGGGACAAACCAAGTTTGTGTTTCCATGGTCTATGAGCAAATCAAGATTAATTGGATTGGATCAAGCTCGCTTAACTTCCATTTTGGGTTCTTGGTTAGGATCAACACAGGTGGCTTCCCAACAGCTGGAGAAGAAGTTTGGGCATTTCTTGACAAGTCTTTAAGAACCAGAGGTTGGGGAGGGGAAAGAAACATCTCTTGGATTATTTTTCAAGCCAGATGTGGGCATGTCAAGAAAAGTTCAGAAATATGGTTATGGTAATAGGGTAGGGGCCATCTTAACTTTCTTCACCTCTTCTGCAAATACTTGTTTCTCCCACAAGCTGAGTTCTGATGGAGGAGGAGGAGGAGGAGGAGGAGAAGGAGGACGATGACGACTGTGGGGTCCTTGGCATTCTCTGAGCTGGGTGGTTTTCTTGCAGATGTTTCATGACCCAGCTAGGGAATATCATCAGTGCTAGAAGGGAGGAGTGTTTGTAGAGAGGAGGAGGAGGAGGAAGATGAAGAGGAGGGGGGAGGAAGCGGAGGAGGAGAACTGTGGGGTCCTTGATGCTCTGTGAGATGGGTGGTTTTCTTGCAGATGTTTCGTGACCCAACTAGGCAACATCATCAGTGCTAGAAGAGAATAGGGTTTATGGAAGAGGAGGAGGAGGAGGGGGAGGATGAGGATGAGGGGGAGGGGGAAGGAGGAGGAAGGAGGAAGGAGAGAAGGAGGAGGAAGGAGAGGAGGAAGAAGAAGGAGAGGAGAAGGAAGGGGGGAGGAGGAGGAGGAGAACTGTGGGGTCCTTGGCGTTCTCTGAGCTGGGTGGTTTTCTTGCAGATGTTTCATGACCCAGCTAGGGAATATCATCAATGCTAGAAGGGAGGAGTGTTTGTAGAGAGGAGGAGGGAGGAGGAGGAAGATGAAGAGGAGGAGGGAGGAAGCGGAGGAGGAGAACTGTGGGGTCCTTGATGCTCTCTAAGCCTGGTGGTTTTCTTGCAGATGTTTCGTGACCCAACTAGGTAACATCGTCAGTGCTAGAAGAGAATAGGGTTTATGGAAGAGGAGGAGGAGGAGGAGGAAGAGGAGGAAGAGGAGGAGGAATGGGAGGAGGAGGAAGGCTGTGGGGTCCTTGGTGCTCTCTGAGCCGGGTGGTTTTCTTGCAGACGTTTCGTGACCCAACTAGGTAACATCGTCAGTGCTAGAAGAGAATAGGGTTTATGGAAGAGGAGGAGGAGGACAGAGAGGAGGAGGAAGGGGAGAGGAAGAGGAAGAGGAGGAGGAAGACTGTGGGGTCCTTGGTGCTCTCTGAGCTGGGTGGTTTTCTTGCAGACGTTTCAGGACCCAGCTAGGGAACATCATCAGTGCTAGAAGGGAGAGGGGTTAGCTCCCTCTTTATATACAGGAGTTCCCTTGACAATGTTGATCAGGGTGCCGTTTTCTCCCTGATAGTTCCCCTGATTAGGCTGGACCAGAAGACTTCCTCTGCAGCAGCCAACACCTAGATAAGCAGGGATTAACGCCAGACAAACAAGCAGAAAACAATACCCTAACCAAGGAATTGGAGAACACCACACTCCATCAACACTGGCAAAGAAAGCTTCTCTATATAAACAGAGAGCTAACTCCACTCCCCTCCAGCACTGACGCTGTTACCAGGCAGGTTCATGAAACGAAACAATTGCAAGAAAACAACCAAGTTCGAAGACCACCAAGGACCCCACCTGTTAGGCACCGCT